GGTAAAGTACAACAGCGTCATCGTGGTAGTCGCGGAAACAGGGTCAGGGAAGAGCACGCAGATTCTGCAGTACCTTGCCGATAACATCAGCGAGCCGGGGAAGCTGATCGCATGTACACAGCCTCGCAAAATCGCAGCGATTAGCCTGGCCGATAGGGTGGCGACGGAGTACGGATGTCAAGTAGGGGATGAGATAGGGTACGCCGTCGGGAGCAAGAGGCGCGTCAGTGACAGGACGAAGGCTGTCTTCATGACTGACCAGGTCCTGCTCAACTCCTGTGTGAAGGAAGGCGAGCTCGACAAGTACTCCTGTGTCGTCATCGACGAGGCTCACGAGAGAAGTATCCACACCGACCTCCTGCTGGGGATACTGAAGAAGAGTCTACACACGAGACCTGGTCTGAGACTCATCATCGCCTCCGCTACCATTGATCCAACACTGTTCTCTAACTACTTCGGCGGTTGTCCAGTGATGTCGGTCCCGGGAAGGACCTTCCCTGTTGACATAATCTATAAAACCCCGCAGTTTGATGACAGCAATGTTGACTTTGTCACCGAGACGGTGAACAAGGTTGTAGAGATTCACAGCAACGAAGGCGAGGGAGATATTCTTGCGTTCCTAACATCACCCTTGGACATAGAACGTGCATGTGAAAGGACGTACATTTCTCCTCGGATCCAGGGTAAACTCCGTTCTTCGTCTCCCCCTTCACGGCAAACTACAACCCGAGGATCAGAGAAAAGTGTTTGAACCAGCCCCCGCTGGGGCCAGGAAGGTCGTGTTTGCCACCAACATCGCGGAAACGAGCGTCACCATCCCAGGCATCATCTATGTCGTGGACTCTGGAATGATCAAAGAACGGTACTTTGACGCCAAACGGAACCTCAGCGTTCTCGACGTCAAGATGGTCGCGCAGAGCTCTGCTATACAGAGAGCCGGTCGGGCGGGGAGAATGCAGCCTGGGACGTGCTACCGGCTCTACACCGAGGACGAGTTCAAGGACATGAGGGTGTCCACACCGCCAGAGATTCTGCGCATGCACCTAGGCATGGCGGTGTTGAAGCTGATGGAACTAGGAGTCACTGACGTCACTGACTTTGACTTCGTAGAACGACCCTCCGACGACGCTTTGCAAGACGCAATAGACCAGTTAGATAGTCTTAGGCGCCATTGAGGGGACTGAAGACGAGATTTTCCCCCTTAGGTGCCATTGAGGGGACTGAAGACGAGATTTCCCCCAAACCTTCGGAATCGAAACAGTCTGACTGGGTGGTCGTCACAGACCAGTCACATGAAACTACCGAGGTCATGGACAACTTAGATAAAACGCCCACAGTCTCCAGTTTCGGAGCCCTGATGGGCTTTTGGCGGCTTCCCAGCATCATCAGTAAGATGTTCCGGGGAAAGGACAAACAAACACAGGAACCAAGAATGGAGGACGAACAGCAGGACAAGCAAGACACGACGGTAACGTCCATGTCCACGACGATAACGTCCATGTCTATCAGACTAACTGAACTCGGAAAAAAGATGTCTCAGCTGCCGACAGAGCCGAGACTGTCAAAGATGATCCTCGAAGGCGTGAACCAAGGGTGCGGGAAGGAGGCCCTCTTGGTGGCCGCGCTGGCGTCCGCAGCCGGCAGCGTGTACTTTCGAGCGGGGACAGAAGAGGAAAAGGCCACGGCAGATCGGCAGAAGATGAAGTTCTGTCACGAGGGAGGGGATCTACTATCCATGCTGGACGTGTACAGAGATTGGGTGGCACAATCACCGACCCGGCGCAACAAATGGTGCGTCGCGAACAGTATCAACGCAAAACCAATGCGGCGTCGCTGAGGAAGGCCTTCCAAAGAAATGAAGCACCAGCTTGCTTCCGGTGGCGTGCACATTCCTGAAGACTTCGCTCCCGTTGAGACCGTGAATGTTCAACTTCCTCGTCTGGTCCTCGCTGCATATTGCAACAACTTGTGCGTCTTCAGTGGCCACGAACGGGCAGGCTATATCGTGGAACGCCTTCAGCAGTGTGTGCACATCCACCCCTCGTCTGCGCTGAAGCACCTCGGTGCACAGCACAAGTGGGTCGTCTTCGACGAGATTCTGCGGACTTCGCGTGACTTCATCATCAACGTCACCCCTGTCGATATCGAATGGCTCGAAGACGTCGCCTCGCGTTATGCAAGCAAAGTCGACCTGCACTCCCTCGAACGATCTACCATGACTTCGTGCCTAATCAATGGATACGGGCTCGAGGTAGTGAGAGGACTGATAGGAAGGCGTGCACAAACGCTGAAGTCCCTGGAAGCCACCGTGTCAGACGACGAGAAGCACCTCTGTGTCATAGAAGTTGACACTGACCGTTGTCAAGTGGCCGTTTTCACCACTCAGGATCGCCTTAAAAAAGGCGAAAAGATTGTCCGTGACGCCATGGATGCCAGGCACAACGACTTGAAGAACGAAAGCGACGAGATACCCGTGGTTGATCACAGAGGCGACGGAACACGAATGGTGCTCGGGAGAGGAGGAGAAGTACAAGACATCCTCATGTCGTCGGAGTTCCGCTGTGTTGAAGTCTTCTACAAGTATACCGGCCAAGACTTGGAGGGCTGTAAGGATGTCATGGACATCTTTGCCTTTTTGGATGGCATCTTGATCAGAACTGCCTTCGACAGGATTCTGACAACAGCAAATGGCCAGAGGGTGGGAGCACTGACGTTTTCGTCTTATAGGTTGGCACAGAAAACTGTCAATCACTACGATAAGCAACCTTTCCGTGACGGAACCCTGATACTGAAACCAGTGAACCAGAGTCGCGGTCCAGGTGGCGCGGTCCTCGGCAAGTCGAACTGAACGTGATGTGGTTCAGAAGAGAGTGCAAAGGTTGGATTCGTTGAGTGCGATGATGCCATGATGAATTTAGATGGATATAGTATTGACGCGCGCGTATCGTCGCTGACATTGACGGCAAGTCATCGAGGCGGCAATGGAATCATCAGAGCAAGTATCAACAAAAATAAGATATCATCGGTGTACGTTCGAGGTCCTTCTTGTTCGCTAAACGAGCAGACCTTGGAAAGGACTGTGCGCAGAAACTCTGTGGTCGTGCCTCAGAGGTATTCAGTGGTGTGGAGACCACAGACATCCCCCGTGGACGTGGAGCGTGATGAAGCACAGCTTAAAGGACTGTTTTCAACATACGTTGTACTTGGAACCGAGCGGGTTTCAGTCACCAAACCAAAAACCGAAAGCCAAGTGCGGGGATACGCAATCGTCACCCTGTCTGATGACAATGATGCCTTGAACGCCGTCAGAGGCCTTCATAACCAGCGAGGGTTGATGGGAACACAGGCCTTGTCAGTAGAGAGAAAGCTACAATGCGACGTTGTGTGCAACGCAAGGATCTACGACGTTTTAGAGGAGAGCTTTAGGGATACCTTAGAGGACCTTACGCGAGGAGGGACTCGTTCTGTGAAGATTGAGTACAAACGCGCCAAGTCTGGCAGAACGGTCTACTTCAAACTGTCCGGAAGAGACGTCGGTGAGGTAGCTCGCGCCAAAAGCCGTCTGCACGACGTCATGAGACCGGATACAGTGGCCCACGAAGATCCCCAGATCACCTCTCGACTATTCAACAAAATCGGACTCGACTTCATCCAAACCATTAGGAACCGCGTGAAAGGTGTTCACATCGATGCCGACCGCAGGACGTTCACCGTCAGTCTGTACGGGAAGGATGAACCAAGGCTGGAGGCGAAGAGACTCATCACGGCCTACCTAGAGAGCCTGACGAAACACAAACCACAAGAGATTCACCTGGCGGACAGCAGCAGACCTGCAGGTGTTATGAAGGCTCTTCTCAACAAGTACGGCCTCGACCTAGACGGGTTAAAGAACGCAACGGGCGCGACGGAGATCAGGCTAGACATGCGGAAACACCTCCTCGTTGTCCAAGAGAGTGATGAGATCTTCAACAAGGTGAAAGAAGTGGTAGAAGAGTGCGCGAAAGAGATCCTGGAGAGGAAGGGCGAAAGTCGCCAGCGTGAGGAAGAAGACGACTCCGAGGACTGCCCCGTCTGTTTCTGCCCCATAGATGGCCAGGACTACCGCCTGCAGTGCTGCGGCCACCGCTACTGCCACGAGTGTATCAAATTTCAGGTGAGCACCGGTTTCATCCTTTTTTCAACAATTTGGCCTTGATAAATAGTGATGTGCGGAAGCACCACCGTCGTCTACTGTATTGTCCAGTCCTTGAATATGCAAAGATTGTTAACTGTCATTCGTGTCTTAACCTTCTTCAGCTGGCGACAGCTATCAGGAGCCAAGAATTCCCCATCAGATGCGGGACTAAGGGATGCCCCTGTGAATTCTTCCTCAGGGACCTCCGCTCACTCCTCAACCAGGCGGATTTCCGGCGACTTGTCACAGGTGGGTACATGATTTTGGAAAGGCAAAAGCACAAAAGCAAAGCAGTCGAAGAACATGGCAGTACTTCTTTTCATCATCTGTATGGACATTACATAGACTCTCAGTGTTTTATGACTACAGGTACAGCACACTACTGTATTTCAACCTTTCATTAGAGGTATCCATTATGACAAAGTCACAACGTGTTTTCAATCAACAGGATCCCTCAACGCTTTTGTGAACAAGAGCAGAGGCCGGTACCGTCCCTGTCCAACTCCTGACTGCCCGTCCGTGTACAGGTGTGTCAGTGAAGAAGAGGGGGAGGGCCAGGTAAGTGAACATGTTCACGTGTTAGGGCAAATGGTTTAGATATGCACTCTTTCACTTTTTTCACTTTAAGTTTAACAACCTGTTTTAACACTTACTAACAACACTTCTCGCCACTGTTGTTTACTTCAACACCTACCAACATGAAAATGCTGTAGTTGATACGTATACATCAGTAAGTTATGGCATTTAGATGCAAATCATTGTTGTCCATACCACATAAAATCAAGCATATATCGGGCCTGGAAATGTAAACTAATATTATTTTCTGTGGTGGTTGTTTGATCATCTAAAGGTGAGTTTATCTAATTACCTACCATTTTCAGGTGTTCCAATGCTGCATGTGCCACAAGCGCCTCTGCACCCGCTGTCATGTCGACATGCATGATGGGATGTCCTGTAGGACATGGCAGATCTTCAATGGCGAGTCAGACGCCACCTTGCGGGAGTGGATGGAAGGGAAAAAGGACGTCAAACTTTGCCCCAAGTGCAGCTTCGTCATCGAGAAGACTGCCGGCTGTAACCACATGACATGTAGGTGCGGGGCACACATCTGTTGGGTTTGTCTAGCAACATTCGACTCGGGAGGGGACTGTTACGACCATTTGGCCAAGTCGTGTGGAGGCATTCTCTGAAATAACACCAAAGATATAATTTTTTGCCATAGTATGGAAATGGATAAGAAGCGACAACCAATTGTAAAACAGAACACAACGAATTGAAATATTTTGTGTAACCGTGTTGCAACATGCTTTGATAAAATCAGGACGATAATAGTTGCGTCGTTTCAGATATAGCATATTACTTATCTAAAACATATTTTCAAAGATTCCGCAGAGTTGTACGTTACGCAGACTTTTCTGTCAAAGTCTTGTTCAGACATGATTATAATAGCGTTGTATATGCATTAGAAGAAAAAAGCGAACGGAAGAGACAGTGATATACTATCGGCAAATATGTATTTTGTTAATTTCAAGTTAGTTGATTTTGCTGCAATGGTATTGTTTCGACAAAGTCTTCACGGAATGCTTCACGGTTCAAAACATTGGTTGTTGTAGAAGGCACGTGTTGCTTGTTCTGCCTGGAATCTTACGGGGCGATTGATTGAATTAATAAAGACGCATGAAAATAATAGCGGTTGTCTCCGTGTGATGTGAAGTCACAAGTTGACTCAGTCACGAGGATCCGACAGCACATGTTTGATCAACGTTTTTCTGACGTACAGTAATGTCAAGGGTGCACGGGCTTCGGTATGGATGCTGATGGATAGAGCCAATTAGTCCAGAAATAGCTCCACATTGTCAAACACGGTCAAGCGTGCGAGCAAGGTATCAAGGACCTACAAGGACAAAAAAGTATATGGCTCCGAATATGTATATGACTTATAATACCATTACTGCACTTACGATTATAATGAGACGTAGCCTTACATGGTAGGGCCGTCAGTGCAGATTTGGCCAAAAGCCATTCGCATTAGACAAGCGTCAGGTTAAGGGATAACGAACGACGTTTTTGTTTTAATATGGACCTCACTGGGAGATCACTGGTCATGTAGGGTGATGTCCGGGTCTTGGGGGGGGGGGGGTACATTCGGGCATTGACCGCTGTAATGGACCACTATTGACCACCTGGGTATTAATGGTTACCTTCATGTATTGACCGGTGTAACTGACCAACTATTCACCGCCAGAGTCCTTGGACTTACCTTCAGTTAGCTTATTGCCCGTTCGTACCCTCTTTGTTGTAGCCTGGGTACAATCCTCCGCAGATACCACCGACTAAGTATTGTCGCTGGCTACCGTAGTAGCCGGTGGAAACTATTAGGTATGGTACCCAGGCTATATTTGTTTCCTGAAAAGTGGTTTATTTTATGATATTGACAGGTTTTTCATGAGGACTCACAACTCCCACGATTTCCTGTCGCGATGTGTTAACACAGCTATGCGGGGGGGGGGGTGCTACTTGCCTTCACATTTAATTCGTTTTGATTTTTTAAACAAAGCTTTCATTGAAACATTTCAGATTTACGCGAGCTCAATAATAGTCTAAATCTGAACTGTACTTTCCAATACACAGTGGGAAAATTACTGTTCAACGTGCTTTAGTACATTTGACTTGAACGAGAGTGAGTTTTCACTTACAGGCTCAGACTGCCAAGTTTAGCCACGTGCTCGCGCGTTTCTCACATCAATACTCCAGACATCACGACTCCAGACAGCTGCAGGCGACGCGCCGTGTCTTTGTGCACGTTTTGTTGGCGTTGCCAGGTAACGCGTGGATCCAATTTTCTATGAGGTTTGTGTTTGGAGGTAGCCCGAGGAAGCTCGAGGCCCTCTGCTTTGACACAGAGCCAGAAAATCGCGGTAAAATGTCAGGACTGGTTTTACATCCATGTTTGAGCACAGGTGAGGTGTTTACGGATAGGGGAGATTTGAACTCATTTGAGTAGGATGTCAATGACAGTGGTTTAGTTAGGTACCGACTTCCAACCTTAACGCAGTATATTCTAATCGTTTAAATCAGGCTTTTCAACCCTGAAATGATTGAAACAAAATTGACACTACCGCAAGGTAAGACACGACCTTCAAGGACATAAACACGCCTCTCCATGTCTACTGACAGTTCTGCGAACACTTGGCAGATTCCCAGAATCAGTCCTTACTTCCAGGCCGTTTGCTTTCATGTTGAGAAACATCTGCCCGAAGATAAGGTTAAATGGTGCGTACTAGAATACATCTTACTTCAAATCAAGTTACAGGGCTTCTTCCCGGATGCTCACATTACTATCCTCCGTCTTATGCCGACTTAACCCCCCGTCAAAGTGGCCTCCAAATGAAGATAAAATAGAATTTCCTGTCGGTAAAATCCATAGAAAGATTGTGTTTATATCGTGGTTGCTTTCTGTGAACGGAAGTGCAGTGAACGGAAGTATCCTACACTCCCACGCGCTCGTGGGCGTCTGCTGCAAGGCCATCGCACTCTACCCACCTAATGCGGGACAGCCTCGCATCGCGAACAGCAATCTTTATAATCTACGGCTTTACTAAAGGTAATTGCTATTCTACATACATCTGAACTGTCGGATGCGTCTCTCCATATGTGTTTCAAGTTCCAATTGTATACTCAAACGTCAGGTCTGTTGGGATTCTCTGGTGATGATTAGTACAAACAAAAACGTTTCAATTCAAATTTGTAGGATAATGGCACGAAACAGGAAGAAGGAAGTGGGATGCATTCTTAGTTAACACGTTCAAAATGATTAACATGTTGTTTCACACTAATGCCAACCTCCAATGGCTTCAGAAGTTAATGTTTCTTTTGTACAAGAGACAGGTTATACATAAATATTGAATTTCAATGAACGCGCGGTATCATCGAGGCGCAACATGGTTCTAACATCTTACAATGTAGCTTATTCCCAAACGCCCGTAAGTTCTTCTCGCACGCCCGAACCATAAGGATTGAAATATCTCTTTCAAATAACGTCGAGCAGTTTTGATTACCACGATAATAATAAGCTTATAGAAACGCCTTGCCAGAACGCTAATTGCCAGTAACAGATAACAATCGAACAGCAGTGATTTCCAACAATTGCAGCCAGGGTACAGGTAGTCAAACCCCTAACGGGAGAACGTCACAAAGAACGGTCTAGAATTCGAACATTCGGCTACTATTATAACGTGCACACCTGACCGGGCACGACCCCTGCCCACTGATCTTGAAAACGAATCTTGAAAAGTCTGGGCAAATGTCACACTAAACGAAATAGTAAGTAGAACAAATGGTAAAATGTTTCGATTAAACTGTAGAGTCAAGAGAGATAGAGATGAGTCCACCCACACAAAGTCATGGAACCTTACATTTGTACTTGCCTGCCGTGTTTCTGATGATTTGCCAGTGAACGTGTTACAGGTGTCTTTTATTTATTTATTTATTGCTCTTAAAAACAGTTGGGTGGTACCTTCAGTCTCTGAAAGGCTGATTTCCAAGGTAGCCCAACAGAACATACACAATGGACAACATGGAATACAATAAAATTAAACAAAATAAAACAGATTAATCAAATGATCAATCGTAGCAAATGACAATAAATGATATAAACAGAGGGTACACGTAATCAATCATACAAACACAACGGAACAACCAAAACAAATAGTCAAAATCGTTAGGCATAGTCGTATTGTCAAATAATGACAGTCGGTTGTCCGTAAGGTCAGGGTCAGAGGTCGTATGTTCTTAGCGCTACTTTAAAGGCATTTATTGTTGATGCCAAACTGATATGTTGGTGTCAAACTGATATGTTGTGAATCGGGAAGTGCCGTAGATGTGCGAGCTGCAGCTGATGCAATGCTGGAACTACTCCAGGAGTGTTCGGAATTCAAAACTTGTTTCTTCTAGGTTTCTTCTCTGATCTGAAAAGAAACCACGTTCACCAAGGCAGAAGGTAACTGGAGCATAGGTTGCATCTTAGGCAGTGGGGCCACGTGTACAATCTGAAATTCTACATTTGGCATTCTATGTACTGTAGTATACAATAAACCTGGTAACATTTGAGCAGAACATCATCCAACAAATCTACAAATGCATCGCCCCTTCGTTGTTGACTCTAACAAAAGCCAGTGATGACGGGACGACGCATGTGTGCTGTGCTCGGGGAATTCTTTCCGGATCTTTCGAGATCTTTGATTGAACTGTGTAGGTGACAAACCATGGTCATAGACACGTCGTGCTCACGGCAATCGCCGGAAGCTTGTTTCAAAAACGAAACTCACGCCACGACAATCGTGTTTCTTCAATTAAAGGAGAAGGAAGTGCTACCGATGCCATGAATACGAGAGTTGTTCCGAGTACGGCACACAGGAAGTTTTGCAGAATATATTTCTTTACTCAACGACATCCGCTTACGAGAAGCCTTGGAGGATTTCCGCAGTATGCTTAAGTCTCGGAAGTGAGCTTGCAACCTTGTAGCAGGCTGCAGTGGGATGGTTGTAGAGGGATGTCATAGTCAGCCTCTACCTTACGGTGGAGCCTACAGTGTAAATGAACGAGTCTGAGTCAGCAGCACCTGTAGCGTCGCTGATTGCCTGTTAGTACAGGAACAGTGTACAGGTGAGCCGTCTCCTCTCCACATGGCAGGAAAGGAGTCGGGGCCAGGTAAGGACACGGCGTCTGAAGGCACGAGGCGCAGCCCAGAGACCTCCCCGCGCCCTAGCCTTGATCCGACGGCTACGGGGGTCAGAGAGGAGGAGCCTTACGAAGAGGAATCGGGTGTAGTTTGTGGTGCAGGCAGTGCCACTGTTGCCAGCCATGTAGACATCCCAGCCTCGTCGATAATTGCCCATCGACTTACATCTGCAACGGGAGAGCAGAAGGCGTCCACGCAAACCATGGAGTTCCATTGCAGTCCCCCGTACAGAGCGCCATGCCCACACCGGGGTGGCAAATAGAAGTGCAGCCCCCACCACAGGGCCACTCCAGGGTACCTCCACCACTGCCAACCCTACACCTACCTTTGCCTAGCGAAATATCCCTCGAGCAAGGTTTTCCCGAACTTGAGAGTCCTTCATCGGGTCACTTCAGTGTGTCGCCTTCGGAGCAAAGCCTCCTCTCCCCACGCTGTTTGGAAGGCAATCCCCTAGGCTCAGAGGTCTCTCGCCAAGGTTAAGAAGCTCGAGCATCTCTGCAGGGACGTCCACGTTCTCTTCGGGGAGGGAAAGCCTGGGTTCTTTAGATTTACCGTCTCCTCCCTCGTTTGTCTTCCGTAGCCCCGTATCTCCAATCGGGGCATATGCAGGCACATTGTCGCACCACAGGCTGCCCAGCGGGTCTTCTCATATGCCCTCTCCGCCTACCAGGAGTCTTAGCTCCATATCAGAGGTTGAGTCAGCAGGCATCCAGCCTAGCTCTGCGGGCCTGTTAACCCCTACCTGGTCGCCTAGCTGGCCGTACACCCTCTCCAGTCCGCCCTCTGCGGCGGCCTCGGGCAGATTGCCTAGCAGGTCATCAGAAGAGGCGTCCCCGTTGCCGACACCGTACCAGCTGCGCAGACCACGGACACCCTGCACACCGCGTTCAGCGGGCACACCTCAAAGCTTTGCTGCATCGTTCCCTCCACAG